GGCTACGTTCAGCAACCTCAACTTGTTTCCAACATGTTGCGACAACCGTTGAGTGAGCGGTTACCAATTGCTGAACGATTCTATTCTCTTAAGTCATGTGACTTATATCATCTATTTACCGTGGTATGACTGTTTATTTAGGTTAATTTGTCATTTTCGTTGTTTGTATTGTTCTTTCGGTGTGAACATGGATTTATTACATTTGATATTAATTGCTGCCGACGATGCGGATGATGTGAGAGGTATAGAATTACAGAGAAATATCATAAACTTCATAGCAAAGGAATTGGACGAACCATTGCGAAATAATTTGTTACAAAATGAACGTAGAATGCGATCAAAGAATGAACATTATTATGAAGTAATTGTACCACGGTACAACGATTATGTATTTAAAGAACATTTTAGAATGTCTAGAGTCACATTTGAGGTTATGGGCGTATTCCTCAACACGTTGAGCTCAGGTAGCGGTCTTAAAATATGATGGAAAAAATGGCGTCCGCTCAGTAAACACGTTGCGTATTGGACACTGACAACAGCGCGTTCAGCAGCTTTTCACTGAACTGTTGTGCAACCGTTGCTCTTGCTGAACGCAGCCATTGACGCATTCTCTATTCCGCAGTCTCCTTTTCCGCACTGTGTGATTTCACCCTTACGCTTCTTACATTCGGAATCTTCTCTTTTTCTCTTTTTAATGCCCAAATAAATATTTATGTCGTTTTAAGTGCAAACATTTTTGGAACTTTAAGCAACGCGAACAGACTCACATATATCTGGGCATAATTTCTGAACGCACTCCAAACGTGCGAAGAAACGTGGAGAAGCCATTTTACCTCGGCGCGCGTCAAAACTTTTAAGTCACGTGATGAGTTTGAAAGTCATATGTCGAAGACGTTTATAAATTTTTCTTTCTTGCGCTCATTGGGAAACCTCGCGATATTCTCGAATTTAACTTTCCGAGTTTGAATGTATAGACGATCGTACGCGCCTGATTTTCAAGCTGAAAAATTCACGCAGTCGAAATTGAAGTCGCTAGAAAAAAGTCCCCGGAAGAGGCGGGGTAAAGCGAGGAAACAAGGAAAGAACTCGAGAAGAAAGAATTAAAAGCGATTAAGAGAATCATCTCTTATAAAGAAGTTGGCTCATCTCTTGTAGGTCACATTCCGAAATGTACTGACAATACTAAATATCAATAGCATTTAGAAGCGATACTGAAAATCTACATCATAAGTAACGCAAACTATATAGATTTTCGGTATACACTTTTAGAATGCACCATTGAGGTGCCGAAACGAAACGTCCAATAGAAGAATAGGAGGAAGAGGAGGAAGTCCTCGTGATCATTGCGACTCGACAGTTATCGGCGACAGTTATCAATCCGGAAGATCGATTCTCGATTGCTCGTGCGGCATCTAGAACGCAGTTGCGCCGTTCGTTGTCGACGTAGCGCGGTACCTCGAGAGAGGACTAGAGGAGTAACACTTGCAGTAGTGCGAAGTGGTGCATGCAAAGCCGACTGGATCGGTGATTTCCGCAAGGAGTAGAGCGAGGAAGATCCCAGTCGTTTCTCGTTGTTCCTCGTGGTCAATTTTATCTTAGCCATCGTTCGACTATCCTTCGTAACTGTTTCGGAACTGCAACGACGGTGGCTGTGCACGCGGTCTCTCGTGGTCCAGCAAGTGCGGTTGCAGCGACATCAGGAGCAAACCGGCGAGACAGTCGGAGCTAAATCTGCTAAATGGCACCGCGTAGGCAAGCGAAGCAGGCGGCGGTAGAAAGTGTCGTGGCTGCTGCTGACGGCAGCGTGACTCCGCCGAAGAAGAGGAAAATAGCTGCAAAATCAGCGACTGCGGACGAACCGAAGCAGACTAAGAGTAGAAGCCGGCAAGCAAAGGCGAATAAGCGGGACAACGAGGTGGTTAGCGAGCCGGTGAGTCCGCCAAAAAAGTCACGCAGCAGGCAGAAAAATGTCGCCGATACTACTACCGTCGCGACTACCGCAAAAACCGGTTCGAAAAGTAGAAAACCTAAGAAGCAAATCAATAAGGAACCGGAGGAAATGACGATAGAGAACAACAATGAGGAGATGGCTGAGAAAAAGACTCGCGGCGGCAAGGCTGCGACAGTGGTGAAAAAGGCGGGAAAGAAGGCGACTGAAACAAAGTCAAAGGCTAAGGTTCCAGTTATTAGGAAGCAAACTAGGACCAAGGATGTAGAAAACAACCCTGAAAATTTGGAAGAGGAAAATATTGATAATAAACAAAAATCTGTTAAGAGGCCTCGTATTCGTCGCGTAAAAATGGTAGAAGAAAACGATGCGCCAGCACAGTCAACTGCAAAGGTATCTAGGAAACGTAGGAATGTGGAGGATGCGAATGAAGCTACTGCAGAGGCACAGACTAAGGAGGAAGAGGACGAGGTAGAGGAGAATGAAGCAAAGGCCAGTAAAAAACTCCGTGGGAGACAGAAGAAAATAGGAACTGCTGATGCACGTAAGTTCCTTTTGAAATTTTTTCTATTTTATCTTGGATTTGTTGAAAAATATTGTTGCTGCTATAATAAAAATTGATGGAGAGCAAAAATGAGAAAATTCTCATTTAAAGAAAATTCTAATAAATTTTTAATAAATTCCAATGTGATGTTCTAGCTGAATTTCTCAAGGAATTTTTAGCTTATGAGACATTCAATCGTTTCATATAATTTAGATGTATTTGCAATAAATAAGAACAAGTAATAAACAAGTTTATAAAATTTACTGATATATATACTATATCTATATATTGAAGTTTTTATTAATATCCACTGAATGCTAAAGATTTTCATGGCTAAATCTAGAATTGTCAACATTATATATTATTTGCAGTATTTCTTTTATAAAACAATTTTGTTGTTAATGTTACTTAAGCAATATTATATTGTGTGTATACAAATTTTTAGCTATTGGAACTTCTAAAGGAAGATCCAGGAAGAATCCTGTAGAAGAAATTGTTAAATCATCACCAAAGAAAACAGAAAGAAAAAAACAAAATACAGCGATACAAGAAGACAACCCAAAAACAAAAAATGTGAAAAATGCAAAAAAAGGAAAGACAAAAAAAGCTGCTTCCAAAAAAAAACTTAATGCTGTAGAAGAGACCAATGACGATCAGGCAGAAGAATCGAATGAGGCAGAAGCAGCAACAACGTCTCAAGTGGATGTCAAAGAAAATGGAGAAGCAGAGCCTAAACAAAAGAAGAGAAATGTGGGAAAAGCAACTGTGGCAGTGAACGGAAAGCAAAATGGTAATGAAGCTAAAGGAAAACAGAAAAAAGGACAAGTAGTTGCTGCATCTGTTGATGAGGAAAAAGCAACACAGGATATAGCTGCAGAGAATGAAATTAAAACAAATGTAATATCAGAAATTGATGAAAATGATACAGTTGTTTCCTCGAGCAAAGATGACATTTTAGAGAATGAAAAAGAAAAAAATGTCAATGATGTAAATTCGGTAAAAGAAGAGCCTCTCACAGAAATATCAAGTAATGAAAGTTTTGTATGAAAATACTTAAAAAAATACAGAACTATTAAAAAATTGAATGGTAAGCCAGAAATTACATGGAAGATATCAACAATATTTTATATTTGACTAATAGAAACGCACATAAAGATAACCAAAAAAATAAATATCCTTTTTAGAACATAAGATTTCTAGAATTGATAGGATCCGATACTCAAGTCAAGTCATAACTACAGTGAAGGATCAAGGACTTAATAGGTAAGGAAGGTGGGACAGAGTAAATGGGATTGGGCCTTGACTCTTCACTGTAGTTATGACTTGGCTTCAGTATCAAATCCTATCAATCCTAGGAATCTTATGTTCTAAAAAGGATATTTATTTTTTTGGTTATGTTTATGTGCGTTTCTATTAGTCAATAAATATAAAATATTGTTGATATCTTCCATCATTTCTGGCTTACCATTCAATTTTTTAATAAAAAGGATATTTATTTTTTGTAAAGAAAAAAAGGAATATATAAATATAAATATATATATATAATAAGAAAGTTTGATAGGATTTATGCAAAATTTTTTATTCCTATTTGGGCAGCATTGCTAAAATATAAGAAATAACGTATTATATATAAAAAAAATATGTATATATAATAATTATAATAATACTAATAATAATTAATATTAATACATTGATATTATTATAATATTGTTATGGAGCAAGAATTTGAATATCTTAAATAAAAATGCAGGTAATAAACATTTTTTTACTGTTGCCCATATAGGAGTTAAGTATGTTACATATTTTTCTAAAGAGATAACGGATAATTGTGCGCACACACATACACATATTGTTTCCGTTCTCTAGTCTAGTAGTTTTATTTGGAACATTTATTATTATTAATAACAATGTAGTTAACCACAATCACTTTTAAGAAAATTTTGAGTTTACAGCTTCAAATTTTTATGAAACAAGGAAGCACTTTTGATGTTAAACTGTATATTCTTTTTTTTTATTACTATTAGACTATAATTAATACTTAAACTTAATTGTCATTGAATCTTGTGTGTTCAAGTTGGCAAAGCAGCTAGGCTGCTTGCTGACCAAATATTACTGATAAACAGCAACATATTGTTAGACACTTAACAAAGTAATATAAATTATAATTTGTACCGCAACAAGTTATAAGTTAGAAAGTAATAGTACATTTCTGTTAACGGATATAATATTTTGTACTTTGCTATCTGCTTTGCTGGCTTGAACACCCCCATTGTTAATTAATCAGAATGTTTGTATATTTTAAGAGAAGATTGTACATAATTCCAGGTAAATTCTGACAATTCTAATGACCATTTGCATTTTGTACGATTAGATATTACAACCTTACAAGCATTCTGTTTAATAGTAACTATATATGCATTAATTTGTAAGATGTTAACATGCGATGTATGTGTGTTTGTTTCTATAATATTAATATCCCTTACACCCTTACATATTGCTGTCCTTCACTGTAAACATTTTCTTTTCTCTTATGACAGAATAAATCAATTTTGTGTTTATATTTTTTGTGATCTTTCTGATATATTTATGGGTGCCTTCCAACAAGAGATACATATGACTTGGGGCCCTATTCTTGAACACATACGAATAATTTTCGCACACGAAAATGATAGTTTCTCAACTGTGATGTGATAGGTCTATTGTATACGGAATTGCTATTTTCATATACGATATTTGTTCAAGAATAGAGCCCTTGGTGTGACAGTGCATCATTACATCCTTGTTGTTCGCCAATGTTAAACAAGGATGAGATGATCACTGTGTTGTACCGAGTCGCTTGTTGGAAGGCATCGCATGATTGTCACTATTTTATAATAAATGGCGAAAGTACACATCTTTAATTTTCATATTTTCCCGCTTGATTCGCAACTTTCTTTATAAATCAAGTTGCGGTCCACTTGACGCTACAAACACTTCGAACCATTCTTTGATTAGTCAATTCGTAAAATTCTTTGTTCTGATTGGTCGCTCAAACGCTTCGAAGCGTTTGTAGCGTCAAGTGGACCGCAGTCTGGGTCACGTAAGCCGATCAAGTCCATAAATGTGTTTTTTTTAGTTGAGTTTCTTGCACGGTTCGTCTTTCTTCCTTTTCTCTCCGTTGAAGAGAAAAAGAGAAAAGATGAACCGTGCAAGAATTAGTGCAATAAAAGAGTGAAATAAACTAGATCAGATCTCTAAGCTAAAAAGAACAGACTTCATAAGTTGACGATAGAGATGGAGTCGTGATCGTTACGAGAGCGCCTTAAGCCTTAAGGATACGTCGTTTGAAGATCGGTCGTGTGCTTTTACGGTCAACTCTTGCTTGGAGACGTTGAAGGTGTGCTAAGCGTGGTACTCGAAGATAAAAGGAAACGAGAATAATTCGCGAGGATGGCAGCGATCAGTTTATTGAATCCGAAAGCCGAGTTCGCCCGGGCGGCGCAGGCTTTGGCGGTGAACATTTCCGCCGCGAAGGGCATTCAGGATGTGATGAGGACCAATTTGGGGCCCAAGGGAACCATGAAAATGTATGTATCCACGTTCACGCGATAATTTTGCCGCTTCATCGTAGCCACCGCTCACTCTGATTCTTCGCGTACGTCTCGAAAATATCTCGAAACTCTGACTCCGAATGCATTGCAACGATTCTCAGCCGTCAGGAATTCGTAAAACGTTGCGGTATCCTGATATCGCATCATTCTCCTTATTAGGAAATGACTTACGAATTATCGGCGCGAAGAGGGGTTGACGTTTCGCGAATGTCGCTTCTCAATGTAGTTTTTTCTTATTCATCCTATCAACTGTTTGTTTTCTTTCATTGATATTCTCAGTGTAACTTTCACATTAAGAAAACACTAATTGATTGACAATCTTAATTAAAATTTACTAGTCGTAATATTTATAAGTAGCATGTTTAAATCATATAAATTTCCAGGTTGGTTTCTGGAGCCGGAGATATAAAGATCACCAAAGATGGTAATGTGCTCCTTCATGAAATGCAAATTCAACACCCTACGGCATCTCTGATAGCAAGAGCGTCCACCGCTCAGGATGATATGACTGGCGATGGCACAACCAGTACTGTGCTGGTCATCGGTGAACTCCTGAAACAAGCTGATTTGTATATAGCAGAAGGGCTGCATCCTAGAATGCTTACAGATGGTTTTGACTTGGCTCGTGCTAAGGCATTAGAAATCTTAGACTCAATGAAAATTGCAATTGAGCCTAATAAGCAGAGCCTGTTAGATATTGTGAGGACTTCGCTCAGAACAAAGGTCCACCATACAGTGGCTGACAAGTTAACTGAGATCTGCGTGGATGCTGTCCTGGCTATTAAGCAGCAGGACAAAGAAATTGATTTGCACATGATCGAATTGATGGAAATGCAACATAGAACAGCAGATGATACCACTCTGATTCGTGGCATAGTCACTGACCATGGATCTAGACATCCAGATATGCCAAAAAGGTTAGAGAATGCATATATTCTGACCTGTAATGTGAGCCTGGAATATGAGAAAAGTGAGGTACATACTAATGCAAGACGATATAAAGAATTTAATTAATATAATGTAATTAATAATTAAAGACATAATTTAATGGATTTAAATTTTATAGGTGAATAGTGGATTCTTTTACAAATCAGCAGAAGAACGCGAAAAGTTAGTAGCTGCTGAACGTGTGTTCATCGATAATCGTGTGAAAAAGATTATCGAATTGAAGAAGAAGTTATGCGACGGAACAGATAAATCATTTGTCGTGATAAATCAAAAAGGAATCGATCCATCATCTCTCGATATGCTCGCGAAAGAGAATATTATGGCTTTACGCAGAGCTAAGCGTAGAAATATGGAACGCTTAGCACTTGCATGTGGTGGCGTGGCTATGAATTCTGTGGATGATCTGAAAGAAGAGCATTTGGGATGGGCCGGTCTTGTGTATGAACATGTTTTGGTAAATTTCTATACTTCTCATTAAAAATGAAAGTTATCACAAAGCTAACTGAAAACTTTTTCTATAACTTTTAATTTTCAGGGAGAAACTAAATATACCTTTATAGAAGATTGCAAAAAGCCAAATTCTGTAACTATTTTATTGAAGGTAACGCAAGTGATTATTTGTGATGAGGCATGCAAATATTCTAATATATTATACTAATGTACTGATATTCTAGGGACCTAACAAGTTTACATTGGAACAACTTAAAGATGCTGTGCGTGACGGACTTAGGGCAATAAAGAACGCTATCGACGATCGTGCAATCGTTCCTGGAGCTGGAGCCTTTGAGGTTGCAGTTAGCCAAGCTCTTCAACGATACAAAGAGCAAGTGAAAGGAAAGCAACGTCTGGGAGTACAGGCCTACGCCGATGCTTTACTTATCATTCCGAAAACTCTCGGTAAACATAATACTTATGAATCTCTATTTTTATTAATATTGCCCAAAATTGTCGTGATTAATCTTTTTTATCTTTTTGATTTTACAGCCGTTAATAGTGGATTTGATCCACAAGACACAATCGTTAAGTTATTTGAGGAAAGCTCTGCTTTAGGAGAACCAGTAGGATTGGATCTGTCTACAGGGGAAGCTTTAAAACCCGCGGATGCTGGCGTATATGACAATTATAATGTAAAAAAACAAATCATCAATTCTTGGTAAGATATTATTAAAACATATATGTGTATGGTATTGAATATTTATTGAATATTATAACTTACGTGGACAAAAATTTTTAACTTTCAGCACGATAATCGCCAGTAATCTCCTTCTGGTTGACGAAATAATGAGAGCAGGATTATCTTCTCTAAAGGGTTAAATTACAATGTAATTCTTATGGAATTAAAAGTTTAAGGACCACTAATAATTTTTTTACAAAATAATTCAAATTATTGGATTATCATCTATTTTGCATTACATCTGTTAACCAAATATGTCGCTTGATCTCTTGCTTTCGATTTAAATTTTTAATAACATGATAATGAATTTTCACATTGAATAATAAAATAATAATGTTTTCGTAAAAAGTATTTCATTCACTTACGAAATTTCACAACGTCGTAAAATATGAGCTGAGAAGGGTACAAAATATCTTTGAAAGTATGAAAAGAGAAATCGTAAATAATGAAAAAAGAAAATATAAAAAGTTAAATTTTGACGTAAAAAAAGAGACGACTCACTAATTCTATATAGATTAAAAGATATTCGTTTTTCTGCTTTTTACTTTAAAAAATAGTAATTTTAATTTGTATGCCTGAAATTGATTATGATTACTCATATACTGGTCAATTTATAAAAATTAAAAATATTTATTTATGGTACATATATTTACAACGTTCTAAAAACTCACATTACAATAATAGGACGTTTGTCAGTCTTGTATTTTCACAAAAAAAAATCCTATTTTCTATTATGTATTAATATTAGTAATTTGATGAAAAGAAT